AAAGTAAGAGCTTCAAATTAAATAAAAATATCAAATTATGCAGCGGACAGCATTTGAAATATATGAAAGGAAGTCTGAAATGAAGACAAACAAACAATAGACGGGAGCTAGACTTTAGTCCTGGTTACGATAAAATATATCGCATGAGAGCAATTCAATAAGTCAAAGTAATATTGAAATGTGTGTCAAGAGGGCAGTCGCTGGTTCAAATCCTGCAGCAAAATATTTGCATAAAACGTTTAATTTCTTCTAGTAAATATTATAGACATTTCTTTGAAATCCCGGCCAAGTTTTGTGCTAGATTCGCATTTGAGCAACGACCACATTTCACCGTTTACAGGGTATCATTAATATGAGTATTTACGTTCTGCTTTCTCGTCAGATTAGTATCCAGCTTTACGTCCGCCATGCTCTGTGGCCGCATACCGGGCTTGACACTGGGTCAGCGGCAGCTCTGCAGCGAAATGCCCGACGCGCTGATCGCGCTGGGCGAGGGTCAGCAGAGGGGCGCGCACGAGTGCCAGCATCAGTTCCGCGGACATCGCTGGAACTGCTCGGAGGTGTGGCAGCGGAATGTGTTCGCCCATGTCATACCCATAGGTGAGTGAGCAGAGACGAGAAGTATTGGAAGAGCAGCTAGAGCTGATACCTTCCTTTCTCTGGCAGCTTCTAGGGAGGCGGCCTACACATATGCCATAGCCAGCGCTGGAGCGGCTTATGCGGTGACAGCGGCCTGTGCCAGCGGCAACATCTCCATGTGCGGCTGCGATGTGCGCCACAAGACGGCGCCGCCGGAGCCCTGGAAGTGGGGCGGCTGCTCGGCGGATGTGGAATTTGGCATGCGTTATACGCGCAAGTTTACGGATGCGCGGGAACTGGAGCGGGATGCGCGCACGCTCATGAATCTGCACAACAATCGCGTGGGGCGCACGGTGCGTATGCAAAATTTATATAAAAATACAAATAAAGTATTAACTTTTGACTCTCTTCCAATTTGGGCGGCAGCTCATCAAGAAGCTGCTGCGCACGGACTGCAAGTGCCATGGCGTCAGCGGCTCCTGCGTGATGAAAACCTGCTGGAAGAGCTTGCCGCCATTTCGCCTGGTCGGCGACAAGTTAATGCAGAAATATCACAAAGCCAAAACTGTTCAAGCCGCCAGAGGCAAACGTGGACTGAGATTAGTATTAAGCAGGTGAGCGAGAATCCCAGCCGCTAAAACAAATGTCTATATGCCTTTCCCTGTCTCCCTCTGCTTGTTTAGAAAGAAGCACCTCGCGGCCCAGAAGCCAACGCTGGTCGCGCCCAAGCGCCTGGAGCTGGTCTATTTGGAGGCATCGCCCAATTATTGCGAGCGCAGCATTCAGACGGGCACCTTGGGCACTGCGGGACGTATTTGCAATCGCACCGGCCACGGCCCCCAGAGCTGTGATCTTTTGTGCTGTGGGCGTGGCCACAACACACAGCACATACAGCGCAGCGAGCAGTGCCGCTGCCAGTTCCGCTGGTGCTGCCAGGTCGAGTGCGAGCAGTGCGACGAGAGCTACGAGGAGTTCACTTGTAAATAAAATAAAAAATAACCGTGCCGCAGCCAGAGCCAGAGCCGCAGGCAGAGTTACAGATGCGAATGTTGCTAGTATTACTTAGTTAGCTCATAACGACTCTTAGTATTATTTGCGAAAATAATGTATTACACACACACACACATACACACTCAAACTAAAAGACACACACACTTAAACACAAAACACAGGTATTCTTGAATAAATAGTTGTAATAACGTTAAAGATTGTGCTTTGACAATTTCTTTTCTTCATGATTAGGTAAGTACTTAATTAAGTGTGCATATATTCATTCAAAGCTTATGATCCCAATTCCATACTTAAGGCTTTCTATTTCCATGAAAGCATTGCAGACAATTGCATACCATGTCCATAGAAATATACTTCAATATACCAACTTTATTCTTAAAGCTCCTCAAGCCCAATCTAAGGATATATCAATCAAGTTCCCTACTTCGTGCTTAAAGCTTTTCCTCCTAAAGCTCTTTCCTATATTTTTTTTTAACTTTGATATTAGCTGATTTATATGAATTTCGCATAAAAACTAAAAGCCGTAAGTTTCCACCAATTATTTTTTCATATGGGCCGAGGTCGATTTTTACCACTTCCCCAAATTTGCCAAAAGTGGAACGATCTTCATGGATAATGACTTTTTGTTCGCAGTGTAATCTCAAAATTCACTCCGCATTACAATTTGGAAGCATCGTTTTTAATCGACACTCATACACATCGAAAATTCGTAAAAGCAAGGGTCAACATGAAGGATGCCTTTGGTGCTTGATTATCGATCTAGGTTTATGTAGCATTTTATCAAAATTAGTTCTTGAATATAATTTTTTTTTTTTTACAATTTAATATGAATATGAATTAGTTTTAGATTTATTGATAAAACAAATAAGGCTCTGCTATATTTGGGGCATCGTCATATGTAAAAGTATAGCATACTTTTAGGGCGGGCATTTAAATGCAGCATTGCCAGGCCCAAGGGAAAGCGCATGCCGAGACGTAACAATTTGAATTTTCTTACGTACAAGTTTAACCACCAAACACGTAACGTTAGCAACTAAAACGTAATGCAAATTGCATGACAGTCGCCTTTGTGAAGGAATGTACGCGCATATTTCATATTTTGCTATTGGAATTTTCATTTAGCCGCACAAAACAAAACGCAAATACAACTATTCAAAGAGAAAGACAGAGACATGGAAAGAGAGAAAGAGAGAGAGAGAAAGTGTATGTGTGTGTGTGTGTTGGGGAACTGAGAGCGAGAGAAAGGAAAACTGCGCTCGCGCGTTGAAAATTCATTGATTGCAATCAGGAAGCGCCGAATAGAGAGCGCTCCGCAATATAGTTCTGCCCGCCTTTTAGGCGAGCGGCTCTGACAAGTGCGAAAACTCACCACGCAACGACGGGTAGCACGGACTACGACTACGATTTTGGCTATGACTATGGCGAAGACTATAACAGCGACTGGCACAGACGAGCGGCGCTCAGTACTTTGAGGGTAGTTAGTTGGACAACGGCTTTGCCGAAAAACGGGCCCCACAGCAGCAGCTGCCGCACAACAATTTTTTGGGTTAGATTACACACACACACTCGCACACACACACACACACGCACACAGAGTATATATGTATCTTTCAGTAACTAAAACAGCAGCAGCAACTGAGCAACAAAAAAAAAAGGCCAATTAAATTGCCTGGCAGCTAAAAAAACAACCAATAAAAAAAAGGCTAAAGAAAAAGTGCAGGCTAAAAGCTAAATGAAATTATATGTAAAGTGTGTTAAAACAAAAAATTACGAAAAAATTTGAAAATGAATTGCGAAAAGTTGGCTTCAAGAAAAATAATGTGTATATGCTCGTGTGTGTGTGTGTGTGAGTGCGTGTGTGTGTGTGTGCGTGTGTAGCAGCAATTGTGCTTTAGGCCGCGACAGCTCCCTGGATACAGAAAAGTGATTTCCTGCAAAATGTGCACGCGCCTCTTGCTAAAAAGAAACTATAAAAAGAATAGTGGAAAAAACTATTCAAAGCGACAGCTCATGAGTGCAGCCATGAATCAAACATGAATAAACCATGAATAAATGCTCGTCTAAATGTGACCGAGCGAAAAGTCGGCGCGATTCGATACATTATTGGGCCGTGCTAAACGCTGCATATATCGATTGGCGAAGAAAAATTATTATAAATTGCTTCAACCTACATATAAAGCGTGTGAGATACACACACATTCACACGCACACACACACGCACACACGCACGCACACATACATGAAGTTTGAACAGCAATAAGCTGTATAACAGTAGACAGGCACACACGCACACACACACCCATACAGTGCAGTCTGAAGTTAGGGTTAGGTTCGCGGGGGCGGTGGGGGGGGGCGTGTAACATAAAGTTGTATGTAGCTGAAGCAGGGGGCGGCTGCGGGATGGGGGTCGGATGGGGGTTGGGGGTGGGTTGGGTTGGCTCTGCCCTTATGTCGTTAGCTTCGTTAGTGGTCCGTTCGGTTTCGTTACGTTTGCGTCTCGTTACGTCTGCGTTACGTCGCAACGTAGCGCTCACACTCCGGCAACTCCTCCGCGTAGCGCTGACTCCCACTCGCCCCCCCTCTCTTTCACGCTCTCTCTCTCTCTCTCTCGCTCTGATGTGTGGTCGCTTCGTGCGTGAAAATGTGTGTCAGTAGCTGGCTCGTAAAAAAAGAGCGCAGAGCGGCGGGCAGCTCACCCAACTCCAACTTCGCGTCGAACCTTATAAATCACTCGTTGAGCACGCAGCACTCGAGCAACAACACGAGCAAAAATATATAAAAAAAAATATATATATTATAATAATGTGCTTTAATTAACTGTGCAGCAAAACAACAACAAGTAGAGCAAAGAAAAAAAAAATAGCTCAACAGAGTTTAACCAAAGTGCGGTGTCCGTGTTTTTTTAACCCCAACAGCCATGTACATACATAAAAAAAATAAATAAATAAATGCATTAACTAATAAGCGGCTATTAACAAAATGCAATCAGTCAGCAGACAGTGAAAGTTCAAAAGTAAATTATAAAAAAAGTTGAGAAAATATAAAATAAAATAAAATAAAATAAAATGCGCAAATTCAGCGGAAACGGAAATGCACTTAGCGCCGCCTGATAGCAGCAGCAGCAGCAACAACAACAACAGCAGCAGCAGGAGGCAGCGGCACGCCTACACACACACACGCGCACACACACACACACACACAGTACAGATGCCTGGCAATGTAGCCGCTGTGTCGCGTGTGTGAAAAATTGCAGCTAGAATACAAAATTGTTGAGCTTAAGGTGCAGAGTGCTGAGCAACTGGAACTGGAACTGGAACTGGAGCTGAAGCAGGAGCTGGAACTGAAGCCAGGAGCTGGAACTAGAGCTGTAGCTGTAGCATATATATTTATATATATATACAATTAATTCTCATACGCCGCGTTCACACTTCAAGCATTCAAAATTCATCGTCTAAGCAAAGCGGGTGAGCAGCTATATCTAGTCTATATCTAATATACGCCAAAAATCAAGTTTAATGCAGTTCCGATCAAGACAACACACAACACACTTACACACACACGCACACACGCACACTCACGCACTTTGTTAGCTCTGTTCATTTCCTGCGTATGTCTTGAGTAAACGTATAAATAATAATCAATTTGCCCCCCCGATCAGATCGAACTAAGTATTCAAATTATGCTTGTAAATATATATACATACATATATACATATGTATGTATATATCCATCGAGTACTCGTATGTATGTGTATGTGTATGTTTATGCGTATTGTGTATTGTATATTGTGTATTTAACTAAACTAACTGCTACTAAGTATTTCCTAGACTTGATTAAACAATTATTAATATGTACGAATTTTTGCCCTTTTTAATATTTAAGCATTTTTTTTTTTACCTATTTTCATAATTATTAATATTTATCTAATTTGCATTTTACTTGATTTAAGTTTAGTTTTAGCGCCTTGACAAAATGTTTTGCTTAGTCCTTTAAGCTCCTGCTGCGCTTAGCCTTAAGTAGTTTATAGAGTTTAGCTAACGTATTATTTCTCATTTATTTTCCTTGTTGTTTTTTTATATCCTTCATAAGCTAGGCTTATATTTAGACTAGCTGTCAAATTGTCTCTCAAATATAATTGGTTTTTTTTTTCCAATTTATTTCTCTTGATAACTTTTTCCATTTATTTTTTTGTGCCAATTGAAAGCTTTTAATTAGATGCGGCTTCACACGAAAGGCAATTGTGCATTTGCCCAGAAACAACTCGTTGGCCAAAGGGGCGTGAAGGGGGGCGGGGGTCGGAGGGGAGGCGTAACAATAGGCAGCTCGCATGATTTGTCATGCGAGTATACACACAGACGGCGCATTGACAGAGGCATCTAATGAGTATTTCCTTTTTTTTTATACTCATCATATACTGCCTACGGCCACGCCTACTTATGGGCGGCCAGCCTTAAACGCTTTGCGTGTTTGTTTTTATTCCTTGGGGTAGGGGGCGTGCGGGGGGCGTGGGCTGCGTGTGACTGCTTTAGCATTGCTTTGGTTTTAGTTACAGTTACATTTTCCATTTTCATTGCCCATTTTCTGAGGCATTTGCCTTGCCTTAGTCTTGCTTCTAATTTTAGATGAGTGGAATAATTTTTATTGATTTCAAATTTTAACCTTATTTGGGCTGCCGCTGCCAATGTGTGTGTATGAGTGCGTATATATGTGTGTGTGTGTGTGTGTGTGTGTGTGTGTGTGTGTGTGTGTGTGTGTGTGTGTGTGTGTGTGTGTCGCAGCATAGAGCGCTAAGCACAGAAGAAAAAAAAGTTATAAAAGAAAACGCCGCCAAACGCCCAACAACAAAATATGCGGCAAATACTTTACGATGACGCGATTGTTGAATCGTCACATGTGTGTGTATGTATGTATGTGTGTGTGTGTGTGCGTCTTTTGCTGAGCGCCGCAGCTGCGCAAATGCGTGTGGTGAATAGCAAATGGGCGCTGCGAGCGACTGCCCCACAAATTCAACATGTTTTTGTGGGGTAAGGCAGTGGGTAGAGCGGAGGGTGAGGGTGCCTCGGGGGCGCTGCGATAACTCAGACAGGCGCTGATAACGCCAACGAGTGTCGACTGTAATAGCTGTAACAATAGTACATGAATTCGTCATCAAATGCATTTGCAAATGCTGCTGGCCCGGAGCCGGAAGTGGATAAAAATACGACGCGCCTGAAAGTATGCAGCAGAAAAAGAAAAGTGAGCTGCCTGCATAGATAACTAGATACAGTAGATACTGTGTGTGTGTGCTTGTGTGTGTGAGTGTGCTTTGTTTGCCTAGCTGAGTGCTGGCCTTAATGGCCGGGCTGGATATGTAATCGAATCCTGGTCAGATCCTGACCTCATCTTGATAGCTGCGGCTGGCGGCCTGTAGCTGCAAGGCTTATGCACCAATATGTGGCACGTTGTTGTTGCTGTCACGTAAATGGGCACTCAGGCGACACACTCACACACACACTCTCACACACATACACGCTTACACACACTCACAGCCTGCTCAGGCATGCAAGTAAACATTTGAATGGTCTTCCGGTCTGCTGATTCGTTTAGCTTTTATTTAGTCGCTGTCGCCGTTGCTTGCCACAGGTCCGCCCCGCCCACCCGTTTCTTCCTTTCTTTTTAGCCATTCATAAAGCGACGCATTCAGTAGTTGGCTGCGCCCTGCCCGGCTGCACTTCACTTTTTTCTTTAGCCCATCCGTGAGTGCCTGGGTAAAACGTGAGATTCGTCTTACCTACACGTGCCACAGCCCGACACGGACTATCTCTTCTGGCGAGCGAGGGTTGTTAAAGGTTTTTTTTTTTCTTATTAATAATTCAGGTTTTTATTGAGCAAATTAGCCAAGCTTTTAGTTTTCTCCATAGGCTTTTATAGAAAGAGTCTTGTAATTTTATCAGGCAGTATGTTATGCATTGAAGGAGAAACCTACGAACTCATCGAGTATATATATATATATATATCTATATATATGCTTAGTCAATATGAACCCCAATATCAATCCGAGTCTGACATGTTTTATCTTTTTAGTAGATCAATGATTGATGATGAAGGATCTGCTTATCATATCTCATTTACATCTTTGCGAATTTCTAAGCTCTTTCAAGATGTTCTCTCACAAAGCCCAAGCTTTAATTTAGAGTCTAGTTGCTTTATAAAGCTGTATTAGACCATGCTTAATAATCTGCAGTTTTCCTTTATTTAATAAATATTGAGATCTTGACAGCTTACGAAGTTTTCCTTGCAAAATGATAGCTGGATTTGAAGAAACAACCTCACGCTAGGCAGAGACTGATTAAGTCATGGAATCAAAACCCACTTAGACCCAAAAAAAAAAAAGACATAGATAAATAGTTGATAGATACTAACAGATAAATTCAAGACACATTTTAATCAAATACAACCCAGCTCGTTGCCTAAGCAGCATAAATTGATATATTGGCGGATAGCTTTATAATTATATGCAGAAATATTTGCTTAATTGAATATAAGCTAGCACAGATATTTAATGATTCCACCCTCGTTGTAATTCATACGAATCATCTACCTGTGTGTGCTCCTGTGTGTGTCCGTGTGTGTGTGTGTATTCAACTGAGTGCGACTCCTCTTGGCAGCGACTTGGTCGAGTGGCAATTTGCATGCGATTTGTTTTGTCTAAATAGAAAACAAAATTTGCATAGAGAGCGGACGAGAGCTGCCATAATGCCATGCTCTCGACATTTCTCACAAGCTCTCCGCTGGGTTTATTTGCTTATGCGTTTAGTGCAGCTTCTGCTGCCTGAGATTTAGGTAAAAAGGTTAAGGATATGTTTGTTGATGTAGTCTAATTTAAATGCAAAACGGCAAATGCTTTAAGGGAGGTCTCTATGCAAGGCGTATACGTAATATATGATTGAATACACAAAACAGGATGTATATATTCTATATGCGATAGATCTTGGCTGTGTGCAAGACGGGGCGTATGCGTAATATATGATTGTATATATGGACACAAAACGGGCCGTATATATGTTATATGCGAAAGATCTTGGCTGTGTGCAAGAATATATGGTGGCGTATGCGTAATATGCATAAGATCTTGTCTGTGTTTGCGGTGTTTGCCTTCTTTATTTTGTACCATGTTTGTTCTTTTTCACTTCTAACTCTTGCAGATGCAGCCAAGCGAGCGAGCAATTGAATGAATTTAACATAGAACCAATATAAAAGCCAATCAAAACGTGCATATCAATCTAGAGCAGACAAACCAAAGAAATTCAATCAAACGAAGCATTTAACAGGACAGCCACAACAACAACTGAAGCAGAAGCAACAACGACAACAACACAGACAGCAACAACAACAACAAGAAGAAGAACTGCGTGGGTGCATGCCGCGGATGAGCCGCGGATTATGTCACGTGACGATTATAATCCAGTGAATAGCTCTGGTGTGCGCAGTCCGGGTCGCGTGCGTCGGCTCCAGGAATTGCCAACGGTCGATCGCTCACCATCACGGGATTACGGCGCACGCGGAAGTCCACTAGGTGAACAAAAATACCAAAATAAACTAAATTATATATGTATATATATATATAGTTAATCTATCAGTTAGTGGCTTCAACTAAAGCTGGCTTTACTTTAAATTTTCGCCAGCCATATTCAAGCACAAACGTAGCCGCACACCAAATGCCATAACTAAGTGCAAAAAAAATAAGTATCTGCAAGATACAAAAGCTGCTCACGTTTGTGCGAGAGGGCGAGAGATAGAGACAAAGAGAAGCTCCTAAATTATGCATATCATTTCACATACTCCAATTGGCCTACTTAGCTTAAGAATTGATTTAGTTTTATCAAAATTTATTGCTCCTATTGCATGCATAAAGATTGCATTTATGTATGCGAAGAGAGCTTCATAAATTGGCTTTAAAAACCTTTTTGACTAAGACTCTAGAAGTTGAGTTGAAAATTAAAACTTTTGTCTCGAAATTTCATTTGTGAACTCCATAAAATGCTTTTAGTTTGTGCTCTTTGTAGTTTCTTAATTAAACTAATGCAAAATTTTATACTAAAATCTATAATTTCTGTCTAACATCACACGCATGCGCATGGTACATTTTACGTTTGGCTTAACTCATCTGCAAAATCTGTAATAATTTTTATTTTGTTAAACCAACAAAAACATAACATACACACACATTCACACACACATTCACACACTATAACACTCATACATTTCCAATGAAAATTGAAAACGTTGCGTCTTTTAAATGCATTAAATCAACCCGTATTTGCATACTGAACTCTGCAAAATTTCAAATCAATTTCTATAATTGAATCAACTCCAGCCGCTGCAGTTAACTTGTAAATTGCATTAACCTGACTAGGAAAATGGCTGGCAGCTGGTTTTAGCAGCCAGCAACGACCTCGAGTTGCCACAACAAGCTAAATTTAATTCCTTCTGAAGCGTTACCGAACATCAAAGCCTCAAACTGGATTACAATTATGGTTAGCAAGCATTCACCTTAATCATAACACACTCAGTACTCTCAGCAAGCGAAAGAAGTTCGTTTGTGTCCCACGTTGGCCGCCAACTGACATACAGCTCAGGCCATAAATAAAATAACAAACTATCACAGAAAATCAAATGCTCAATGTGGATTACAATTATGGCTAACAAGCATTCACCTTAGTCTCAACATGCTCACTTTTCAACAACGCTTGTTTGCGGCTCACGTTGGGCGCTAACTAAGGTTTGACCATACATAAAATGGAAAACTATCAGAGAGAATCAAAGAATTTAACTAAATTACAATTATGGCTAGCAAGCATTCACTTTAGTCATTACATACTCTACTTCTAAAAGATATTTGCTCGCGTTGGGTGCCAACTTTTAAAAAACCATTCAGGTCCTAGAAAAAATAAGACTCAAATGCAATAACAATAACGGACAGAAAGCATTCACTAAATACATTACATGCTTGCTTTTTCACAGCCGACGAAGTTTGTTAGTGACTCACGTTGGGCGCCAACTTTGTTTGAACCCACAGTTTATACCATTAATTCAATGAAACACCGCTTAATTGGGCACACAAATTGACCATAAATTGAGCATAGTTTCTACACATGCTCAAATAATAAAAAACTTCTTAACTCGCGGCCAACTAATTAGAGTTTCAACTTATTTGAACGACCAAAATAGCGTCTGTTATTGCCCTCTAGCTGAGGCATAGCACCATAAATAACACTTGAGAATTTATGATTTAATAAAGTCAAGCCACAGGGTTGGCAAATTTTTAGCCAGACATAAATTTATGAAAGCCCTTGAAGGGAAGTCAAGAAAGAAGCATAAAATGAGGAAAGTAAATGTGATCAGATAAGTTTTAGTTGAGTTTTTTTTAGTAACTGAAACTGATGGAAAAATCAGATATGTGTCCGCTATTAGAACTGGTCTATATGTAATATCAAAATCTAAAAATTAGCACATTTAAATTTATAAATATCAAAAGAAGTCTTGATTTCGTATTCGTATTCAATAGCAGCACAAATTGGTTAGTACTTTGAGTAGCATTTAGCTTAGCCTTAAAATAAGCTTTGAAAAATGGCCAAAAAGAAAAGCTGGCAACACTGATGCGCAAGGACACGGCACAACAAAGAGCCACAAATTAAGTTTCGTGTGGCTTGGCTGGTTACGTGCAAAATGTTCAGCTCATGCTGGCAAAAAGTTTAGTTTATGGCTCCCCCCACACACACACACACACTCTCACACTCGCACTCACACTCACACTCACACACACATATCCGCCCCCGGGACCAATGCACAAATCACACAGCGCTGCTGCAGCAAGGCCAAAGGGGCGGAGTGAGCGGGGGTTTTGGCTAACAAAGTAGCTAGTTTATGAGCCATTTTATATGGCAACAAGGCGGGCGGGCAGCAACTCGCGCGCGATACACGACAAACATTTCACGTTGATGTTGAGTTTTTCGTTCCCTGCGTTCCATTCAACTAACCCTTTTTTATTATACCATATAGTAACTGCATAATTCAGTATGAGCGACACGAACTAGCTTTAGCGCAATCAGCAACCGATTCCCGAGCTAAGAAAAAAGGAACAACAAAAAACAATCACTGCACTAGTTTTCATCTACTACAAGAAAATACAAACTAGTTCCAGATCTTGATTTACATATGAACCGGTTATTTTTTATGATTTTGTTCTTCATTTCTGATTTCACACTCAAGCAGAAAAACAAAAAAAGAAAACAAAAGAAAAGAAAAACAAATACCGAACCCGTCATCCTCATTTGATCATCGTCATGAATTCTGTATGAATTTCAGCAATGGGCAGTCCATACTACCGCGACATGGATGAGCCAACAAGTCCCGCCGGTGCGGGACACCATCGCAGCCGCAGCGCCAGCAGACCACCGATGTCACATGCCATGGACTATCCAAGTAATAACCCAGCACATCTCTAACCCACATTCTGCGCCCCTAGCATATTCTCCTTTTAATTCTATTATATATTTTTGATTTGTTCACATCGAACAGGAACCCGCTATCAGTCGCTCGATCGCGGCGGCCTTGTGGATCCGCATGAACGTGAATTCATTCCCATACGAGAGCCGCGTGATCGCTCCCGGGACAGATCCCTGGAAAGAGGACTCTACCTGGAGGACGAACTGTACGGCCGTTCGGCGCGACAAAGTCCCAATGCGCTAGGAGGTAAGCGTTGGTCCACTAAATAAATCTTAGCTATGGGTAATATGTTGGGTTAGATTGAAATCGATCTAAAAGAATCCTTAGCTAAATCAGGGTTAAGAGGAGAGATTACCCTAGGCGGAAGGAACCTTGCATTTTATTCCATATATATCCGTAAAAAATCTTCCATTCGTAATATTCTCAAGAGGTTCGTTTAAGAAATGCCCCGCTTATGTTTTAGGAAAGCGTTACATTTCAGATTTGTTGTAGATTTATATATGTATATGATTATATATGTATATGATATAAAAATAAAGGTACTATATTGTGATAGATGGGGATCGGGCGGAAGGAAACCTTAGCTTAGACCATAGAAGGAGAAGGAGAAGGAGACCCAAGAAGGAGAAAGTCAAACCCCGCTTTCGTAAGGATTCTGTCAGGTATTTTGTCGAGAAATTTCAACCATTATTCCACGATATTACTGTTAGATCTTCCATTCGTGGAAAGCGTAAGATTTCACATATATTCTGGGTAATATTTGTATATGATATGAAAATATGTTAGCTTACCAAGTATTATCCTAGAGAGGCCTGAAAAGAGAAAGGAAATAATATTTATTACTTACAAAATATTAACTAACTAATAAGGGAATAAATATATAAGAATTTAGGATAACATATATGCCATTCTTCAATTCTATACTCAATCTATGTACAGGCTATAACACGGGTATGCCCACATCGGATCGTGCCTATCTGGGGGATTTGCAGCATCAGAATACGGATCTGCAGCGTGAGCTGGGCAATCTGAAGCGGGAGCTGGAGCTGACGAATCAAAAGCTGGGCAGCTCGATGCACAGCATCAAGACATTCTGGTCGCCGGAGCTAAAGAAAGAGCGGGCGCTGCGCAAGGAGGAGAGCGCCAAGTACAGTCTGATCAACGATCAGCTAAAGCTGCTTAGCACAGAGAATCAGGTGAGCAAATTACACAGCTATAGCAGGTGAGTGCATTTAATTAACTGGTCTCCTGGCACGCAGAAACAAGCGATGCTCGTGCGCCAGCTGGAGGAGGAGCTGCGTCTGCGCATGCGCCAGCCCAATCTCGAGATGCAGCAGCAAATGGAGGCCATCTACGCGGAGAACGATCATCTGCAGCGCGAGATCAGCATATTGCGCGAGACCATCAAGGATCTCGAGTGCCGCGTGGAAACCCAAAAGCAGACGCTCATCGCGCGCGACGAGAGCATCAAGAAGCTGCTCGAAATGCTGCAGGCCAAGGGCATGGGTAAGTCTCGCACTCTGAAGGGGGAGGGGGCAAATGTATACATATATAGAAACATGCCACATTTGGTTTCAGGCAAAGAGGAGGAGCGCCAAATGTTCCAGCAAATGCAGGCGATGGCACAGAAACAGGTAAGTCCTTAGCCCACACAAATATCCTTGTTGTGCCTGGAGTAACAGGCGGCCGCCCCCCGCCCCCACGCCCAACAGAGACTATCTGTCTCACTGTCTAATTCTCGTTTTGCGGCAAACAAAATGCTCTAGTGACAATGATTTCGTACACATGCGCAGCCCACCACAAAAAAAAAAAAATACTACAAAAAAAGTACTAAAAACAACGTTAAATACCAACAAAAAAAATAATTCTTACTTTTATAGTTTATTTTTAGTTAATGTTGAACAACTTTTGCGACTGCAAGTGCTTAACTTTTGTTTTCTTATTACATATATATATATATATATACTATATATACCATATACTAGTAAAATACCAAATATACCAAATACACTACACTAATCTATATTGATATCCATAAAATACCAAATACACAGACACAACAGCATATGCTCTATTGTAGCGCCTAGCATTCAAAAATTCTTAAATAACTTTTGCTTCGTTTTGCTTTGAACTAACTGCCAGTTAATAAAGTTAACTTCAACTTAAATCTTAAGCTAGCGTTTGCAGTTTGTTCGTAGTATTTTGTTATAAGTTCTACACACACACACACACACACACACACACACACACACACACACACACACACACACACACACACACACACACACACACACACACACACACACACACACACACACACACACACACACACACACACACATGCACACAGTAACTTTGACATGTTTTTGGTAGTTGTTCCTTGTTGTTGTTTAATTAATTTGTCTACAAATGAGTCAGCTATAAGCGCTCTTTAAGCACACACCAACACACACACACATCCAAACACTTATTGCTAGTCATTTCATCAGTTGCAACGCCTTTTGTGCGCCCCCCCCCCCCCCCTTTCCCTGCCTTCACCATGCCTCACACTCTGCAACTCAATGTGGGGCAAGCAATAAAATTCAATTTGTTGCATACATTTCGTACATCTCGCAGAGAGTTTGCCATTGTTTTTGACAACGATCCCCCCTCAACAACCCCCCCCCCCCCCCCCCCCCCCAAAAAAAAAAAACATCCCAATAAGCCCTACCCCTCCCCGCTGACCCTGTTTTTTATTGCTTGCGCAGTTATGCAACAAGCAAAATGCATTCGATTTGCATCATAATTCTTACTTATTGACACCCAAAAAAAAAACGAAACAAGTTTAACTATGAGTGCCCGACTAGCAGCTACCCTGTGCCCACAACAAATTAGAACTTCTATTTAAGAGAACATTTTTCTGGAAAGCGTAAAACACGAGATATGCAAATCGATATTAGGAAAACAGCTTCGAGGTTTTTGGCGAGAGTGAGACGGACATATAGATAGATAGAGCCCGATCAAGTATACCCATTTGTAATGCACACAGGGTATACACGAAACTCAAGCAGTTCAGCCCCAGGACATATGCGGCGCTGCCCTGTGGGAAATCTACTGAAAATTTTGCCCGAACCAGTTTGACAATACTCTGACTCATCTGTCCCCAAGGACAGCAAAACGGGGCAGCTGCTTATTACTTACACACACACACACACAAACACACAGGCAGAGCTATACTCTGTAATTACTCGCATGCCAGCCCATAGATAACATGCGTACACATAATGCCATGTATTAAGCCACAGTTTCAGGCCACATAAGGGCTGGCCGCTGTCCAGGGCATGTCAACAAAGGCGTCGGACCATACAAAAAGGCCAAACAACACGCACACACACAGAAAGAGAGAGACGGAGACACTGTGAGAGAGACCTTGATGCCATATGATATGCTACTTATTTAAGGCAGCCCGACTGATCCATTCGCTCATGCTGGTTTTTTCTTTGGCTAACTGCCCACTTGGCAATTTATTCACATTTTGTTCACGCATCAATTGAACGCTTGAATACAACTCGAATGGCATTCGACTGTCGCAATTGTCGCAAATAAATATATTTCTTTCGAAAGTCGGCCATGCCTTGGGGCGGCGTTTGGCGTTGCACGAAATGAATTTGTCTCCGGTTTGCCGGAACAAACGAGCGAAATAACCAGCGACAGTTGTAATTAAAAACCCTCAGTTCAAAATGTAGCAAGCGGAAATAACAATAACAAATGTTGGGCGAAAACAAGAGAAGTCTATATATAAAACTATTCGACTTGGAGTTACCCTGTGTCTGGCGAAACTAGCTCTTATTATCTGCGAAATCTGCTTCAATAATACTATCGATAACTTTATCGTTTATCGATATTTATCGATGTCTTTAAATAAGACAAAGACTGCCTATGGATATCCTTAAACAAAACCAAGACTGTATATCAATATTTATCGATATCCTTAAACAAAATCGAGACGGAATGTCGATATTTATCGATATTCTTAAATAAGACAAACACCGTCTATCGATTTTTATCGATTTCGATGATTATTTCTTATCCTCAAATAAGACCACAAGGCCGACAATCAACAATAATCGATTTGCAGAAACTGTGGAAACTATCGATATATTTAATTCGATTTGCAGAAACTGTGGAAACTATCGATATATTTTACTCTAAAAGTTGATAGCTCTCGATATGGATAAAATCTATAAAAAGGCAAGTTTTCCTTAAATACATAGTCTTATCAAAGAGAATATCAAAAGTAATCCATACTATATTAAATTGAACGGCTTCAGGCGTAAACACGAAAAACATCAGTAAACCTTTTATATGCAATGCAGCTTTAATATGCTGTAAGATAATTTTTTATTCCGATTGCACATACCCAATTTAACAAAAAGTAAGACGGAAAAACGTACGAATTACTACAGTTTTTCCGGCTTTTCTTTTTTTCTTCATCGAGAGCGTAGGCGAGCAATTAAAAAAGTTGGCAGCTGCGTTGCGTATACGCCGCGTGCAACGGCGCCAAAAGCGAGCAATCAACGCCGTTCGCCGGGTCGAGGTCAATTCTAGCCTTTGCTGTTGCTGTTGTTGTTGCCTCTATTCCAATTGCATTTCGTATATGCACATGTTCAGCTTTTAGTTCCGTTTTTTTTTTTCGTATTAAAAGGCTTTCACCAAAACACAAAAGGCTATGTCAACTATAATTAATAGTTGTTATCTAACGCGCGGCTCAGTTGAAATCTGACGAAAAACTTATCCAAGGCTGTCGCAACTTTAATGCCTTGTTTTATACTTATTAAGTGCTGCCAGAGCAATCCTTAATAAGTCAGAAAGTCGATGAAACGCGGGCCCAGGCTAGCTAGAAACTTTTCACAATTTATCTAAACAGGGTCGGGGCTAAGCACTGGGTACGCACTTCAGGGCTCAAATCCCCGTGAGCAACATTTTCTACTTTTTCAAAATATAAAAAAGTGTTTTCTTATACAGTAAACAATTTGAAAATGTTAAAATCATAAGGAAGAATGCTTGAATATAAGACATAAGCTCTTTTATCTTTTGGATTCCTATTTCTAGACAACAATTATTTCTCTCCTGCTGCAAGCTTTTATTTCCTGACGAGTCTAAGCAGTTCTACAAAGCTCTTCCAAGTTTTTCCTACTTTATTGCTAGACTTTTGAGAACTGAAATAACTTTAAACTCAAGCTACTAAGTCATCCCGTACCACACACATTAATACTTACTTAGTATCCAGCTTGTGCCCAAATATTGCCAGGCCTTACATAACTTTGGCGCACGCATATCTAAGCTATTCTCTGTGCGAGTGTGTGCGAGTCTGTGTGTGTGTGTATGTGTGTGTGTGTGTGTATGAATTTTATATTAACAACATTTATGGGCATTTAACTGGCGCCAGTTGGTCTCTGGCATACATTTGCCCTCTGAACTACAATATGAAAAAAAAAATACAAAACTGAACCTTCTCAATTCTGGCCCACAGCTTGATTTGGAGCGTGAAATCAAGAAATACGCTCAGGAGGAGCAGGGGGTGAGGGTGAGTTGTCGCACATTTTGTTGTTGTTTTAAATACCCTGCCTTTTTGTCTACCCTTGTAGCGGGTATTATTATTTTGTGCGTGAGTATATGTAGCCATGTCCGTTTAACTATATAAATCTAAGCTAATCTCTGCCGTGTCGGAATCTGTCAGATTGGAGTACTATATCATATATCGATCATAAATCAGTCGTACATAAATCGCTTCACATGTCTACAAGGGTATTTAATCTTCGGCGTGCCGCAGATAAGCCTTATTTCATGACATTTTTGTTTCTCTGCTTGCGCCTTAGCTAACATTATCCAAACACAGCGTTCGTAGGCTACTTGCCACATGCCTCGTGCCACCTGAGCCACCCACTCACCTGGCATAGTTGCACGTTGGCCTAAACTGTCGATGAATGGCAGCCACATTCAAATATTCATGCTGTTTGGCCCTGGCCAAGCAAATTACCAAGCTATGCAAAGCGGCGCCAATGCCTGAATTTTAATTAGCATGCATAGAAGGGCCGGTTGTATGCGTGTGTGTGAGAGAGTGTGGGTGCAAGGATAAGCCCATGCATACGCATAAATAATAATGGACAGGGTTGGGTGTTTGTTAGGGGTGTGTGTGTGGGGGGGGGGGGGGCGTGTGTGTAGCTGCGGCGCTGCTGCTCGTTTATAAACATGAAACGTTGGCCTCAACTCTTGATATATTGCGGCAGGGCCAGGGGCGGAGGCGCTGTGGCAGGGGGCGTGTGCTTTGTTTGGCCGAGGGCATAAAATAATTACGCGGCTTGCCGTAAAATTCATTTTGCTGTCAAAAACCACACACACACACACACACAGACACCCACACCCCCACACACACACACACAGAGAGACAAGTCGTGTCGTGTCCTGGCCAAACGCAATTACCAGCTGCGCTGCTAGGAATAGGTTTATTTAGAGTGTTTCCAAATGAAATGAAAACAATTAAGCCAGAAACGGAAATGCGCAGCAGACTCTGAACTCTTGGCAGCAGCAGCAACAGCAGCAGCAGCTCAAAAACTGGCACACAGTGGCACACGAAAGTAAGCACACACAGGCA